CCACCCTCGGGATGCGTTCCAGCAGCTGCGCCTCGCCGAGGGCGTTCCAGGGGTATCAGGATCGTCCCGAACGGCCGCCGGAGGCCAGAGCTATGACCCGAAGACCAACGGGCGGCGTCCCGATGGGGGGAAATGAGAGGGGAAGGCCCTTTCAGATGGCGGCGGGGCTTCCCAGAGCCTCGGAGAAGGCCCGTAGAGCTTCTCAAAAGGCCAGGGGCGCCATGAGGCTTCTGAGGAGGCCCGCCCCCTCTCACTTCCCCCCTCGGCGCGCCGCCGATGGCAATCTTCGCGCCCCTCGGGATGAGCTGGGCTGCGCCAGTTTCCCCCCAATCAGGCTTTGCCTACAGGGCTGCTGGTTTTGTGAGAAAGCGGGTGGGTGCGACGTGATTCATCATAGGCGGCGCCAGGCCTTCCTCGGGGTCCTTGCTCTTCATTCCTTGCTGCTTTCCTCGGGATCCTTGGTCTTGGTTTCCTGCTTCCTAGCAATGCCAAGCAACGCTAAGCAACGGCAAGCAATGCCAAGCAACGCCATCCAATACCTAGTGATGCCCAACAGCCCGAACCAATGCGCCCATGCAATTAGAGGCCATGTCCCCTAATTGGGGTCGCGCCAGGTTCATTGTCTTGCCACTTCGGCGTCCGAGGGGCCGCTTTTGCCGGCCCTGGGGACGAGGCGGAGAGCTCTCTTGCTCGCGTCGCGGCAAGGCGACGATGAGGGAAAATGCGACGACGAGGGAGAATGTTGCCGATTGCCCTCACACCGTAACGTCCGTCACGGAGTTGGTTGTGGGGGGAAGCTGGACGCCCCGCCACGCCGATACGTTCCTGACTTGTTACCGTTAGGGGGGGTAATCCCCCCGTGGCGAACGTTACGGGCTCACAGCGTGAACAGACGAACTCAGGGGCGAACGTGGCTCCCCCCTTTTCTCTCGCAAGGCCTCGGGCACAGACGCAGCCACGCGCAGTCAGCGACGACACGGGACCCCGCGGATGCGGATTCGCAGTGTATTCGGAACTGGCGCGGGACTCTGCAGCGTGAGGGCATGCGCGGGGGTGGCCAGGACCAGGCCGGTCCGAGCCAGAGAAGCGCCAGTGGGTCTTCCAACTGCCGCTCCTCTGGCCCTCGCCGGCTGTGCTGCCTTCTCCGTGGGCGCCTCAGAGCGATGAGAAGTGCGACTTCAGCTGCTTGATCAGCTCCTTGCTGTCGAGGTGGTCCGGGTATGCCTCCAGGGCCCTGTGCGCCAGCTCATAGCTCTCCTGGAAGTCGCCCAGCTTGAAGGCCAGCAGCCCGCCGTTGAAGGCGGGCTCGAACAGGTGGGGGCCGAGGCGCATCGCGGTGTGGAAGTGCGCCTGCGCCTGCTCGACGTTGTTCTTCCTGAGCTCCAGGACCCCAAGGTTGCTGTAGCTCTCCGCATGGTTGGGGTCTACAGACACGGCGATCTTGAACGCCTGGTACGCCAGGCCTACATCCCCGACGCCGATGGCAACCTGGCCGATGTTGTACCAGACCTCGGCCATGTTGTCGTCGTCCGCCAACATCAACGCCCTCTCAAAGCAGCTCAGGGTCAAATCGTATTGCCCCGCGTAAAAGCAACAGAGCCCCATGTTGTTCCACAACTCCGAATTCGCGACTCCGTTCTGCAAGAGCCGCCGGTAGAAGCGCAGCGCCAGCTCTGGCTGGTCGGTGTAGAAATGGTGTGACGCCATGCATGCTATTGCCTCCACGTTGACCGAGTCGTAGTGGAGCACCTGTTTGTAGAACTGCACGCCCCTGAGCAGGGCGTTCAACATGTCCCAGGTCCGCGCAATGCCGACTAGCAGGTGCGTGTCCCCAACCCACTTTTCCGATGCCCGGTTGTACTGGTCCAGTGCGGTGTTGGGCTGGTCCAGCTTGAGGTAGACCTTGCACAGCTCCAGCTGAGTAGTCACGATATCCTCGTCTCTGAGGGCGCTCTTCAGCTGCTTTTCGGCGTCCCGCAACAGTCCTAGCTGGTAGTACGCCTTGCCAAGGCGCGCTTTCCACCACCAATCGCTGAAGTCCGACGCCTGCGTCGCTTCTGATGCGAGCTCCAGCGCCTTCCGGGGGTTGCGCGCGTAGTACAGCATGTAGTCGCAGAGCGCCTTGGCGATGGCAGGGCGCTGCGCATACTTTTTCAGGTCCAGCGTCTCGAGCCGCACGAACTCGCCGCCGTCGTCGTGCTGCATCGACGCAGTGCCCAGCCGCACCAGGCGGCCCATCGACGTCAGCGGGCGGGAAGTCCCCGGGCGATTCCCCTGCATCGCCGTGGTGACGTCGCGCCCCGCTGCGGAGCTCGTGGGCCTGTTGTTCCCTGGCCTCGCGAAGCCGGTCACCGGCCGCCCGGCGGCGCTCACGGGCCGCACCACCTGCGAGGGCGCGCCGCCCTCCTGGACCTTGGCGAGGGGCCGGCTCAGAGACGTCCCAGGCCGTGGCGCCTGCGCCACGGCGTTGTCGTCCATCAGGATGTCCGCGATCCCCTCC